AGCCAGCTGAGCACTTCACACTTCATTGAAAAGTCACCACAATAATTACCAGATCATTAACAAGGGATTTTGAAAAGGCACTTAAGCATCTCTCCCATAATTGCAAAGACAGGTGTAACAGTCTATCTGGGCAGAGAAGAATGGTTTAAAGGGATATTGGGGACTGAGTGTAAAAATAATTAAAGTGGGCTGAGCAGCGGCAGGAGTGGGTAACCTTCTTATCTGAGCATGGTAACAACCCAGGCAGCAGTGAGGAGGCCTCACAGTTTTAGACAAAACACAAAACGTACAGACTTTGTTTCTCCTCTTACACTTTAATAAGGAATTTGACATAAATCCTAGGTCTTCCTTAGAACGCCTGGTACCTGTTTCGACAAGGTTCGTGTACAAGAAACATAAACTATCCTGCACCACGGGCTTCATTATTAATTTTACTCATTACAGTTAATGAAAAATCAAATGTCCAAATGGCTGGGGACGAGGTGGGCAGATAAGCTCCCCTTATATCAAAAGTCCCACAGGAAGGAAGATAAATGGTTATGTCTCAAATAGGTGGACGATTAGGTATGCCTGCTTAAGCTACCCCCTTTACTGAAACTTTAGATCAAGTTGTTGCCTCCTGACAAATCTGCATACTGTTTGGATGGAGATACAACCCTTCCCTACCTGGGAACCTTGTTTCCAGAGATCCTTGCCCAATTGCAAGTGATACCCGGGTGGCAACAGACTCAAGTACAGATCATCACCTTTCTTTGATGGTCCAAGTCAGTGGGTTTCAGCCCTGGCTGCATATCAAAATCCTAGTAACACAGGTGTTGGGACTCACACAAGACATGTGGAATCAAAATCCCTGGGGCTGAAAACCTGGCATCCATATTTTTAAACACCTCTCAAGGTGATTCTTGTGTAATTTTTAGAGTACTTGTATTTGGGAACTAACCACAGGAACTGAAAATACTTTTTGTGAGGTTTTTTTTTTCTCCTTTTCATATTCAAAGCTGCTTTAGAGCACAACTGCTTTAAAATGTCACCTGAGGGTCTTCAGCCTCCTTGAGAGGGCTGATTTGCATGAAGTATTTTCTAGATGCCAGGCAGAAAATGTAAGCTAAGCATAGGAGTGTTTGGGCTCGTGGTGACCATCTTTAGCATCAGGGAAGCATCTGTCTGGCACCTTGCAGGCTGGCGAGGCAAAGTGTGAAGTTCATGGTATTTCTTATTCGGAGAATAGCAAACTCTACCTAGGACATCATGCTATCTGGGTATGACTTGCTAAAATGCAACTGTGTCCGTCTGTGCATGAGATCATGCGTGCTGTGTGGGCCTAAATGTGCAGGTCCAAACTCCATGCCCTGTCCCAGATTCTCTGCCTGACTCTTGGACAGTGATCATGAAGCCTGAGACAACCGTGGTAGGAAAGGGAGGTCCTGGGTGGTCCCAGAGGGAATGAGGGTGATGGAAGATGCTGGGTAGACCTGGGGGGACAAGTAGATGGGAGGGGCTGGCTGTTTCCAGAAGGGATGGATGAGAGTGATGGGTGGGGTGCCGTGCTTAGGAGGAAGGTGTCACCAGCTAGATCGGAATCCACAGTTTGGGAGACCCGCTGTAACTAACAGATCAGTCTGCCCCTCCCCAAATCCTTAAATGTGCAGGCATCAACTTGTCATTTTGGATTTTATTAAGTTTTATTAAAATCACCTTGGAAATCTGCCCTATTTATCATAGACACCCTGATGTCTCTGAAACATCTCTGGGCATTGGGGTATTCACATTTCTCCTGCTCACCTCTGGCCCCGATTCCTGTTGGATTCCCAGTCTCTATTATGTGCTCTTGTTTTCCCCGTAGGATATCACCCCACCTCCCTCAGCCCTGATCTCTTCTTACCCTCAAAGTCCCACCAGCTCAAAGCTTTGGGAGGACCGACTTCCAGGCCCAGATCAGCAGAGTCCAGCCACATCACAAGGATACCCTTGCCCTTAGCCTGGTCGGGACCCTTTACACTCATGCTGCTCCTCGTGTTATAAAAGCAAAGCATCCTATTCCTGGCCCATTGCCCCTCTCATCTAGCATCTCCTCACCCCTTAGAGACCTCTGACACCCCACTTACCAGGCCAACGCTGCCAGCTGGGAAGGCAGAGTAGAAAGATAGATTGAGGGAGGCAGAGGGAATGACCCTCCTGTATATCTTAATTTCAGCATTAAAATCAAATAGCCAGAGATCCGATTCTGTAGACAGAAGCCAATTACACACAAATTTTGGCAAATCATATGCAAATAACACATGTGTCTGCCCTGGATTACATCTGCTTAGATGTGTTTTTCAGGAGCAGACAAGGAGAGATCACGGGAAAAGAGTGTTCGGGATGTGGGGGCAAAGAAGCAAGAGAGGGAATGATGGATTCTTAAAGCCAACCACATGCCAGGAAATTTTACTTATGTCATTTGCTCAGCTAGCCCTTCTTGAGTGGCTGTTGTGCGCTTTGTATATTGGCCACGTTTCTCCCTATCATTTAAAAGTGGCTGCCATTGCCCCAAACACCATGTCATCACACAGTGAGGGCTAGAAACAGAAAAAGAAAGGGGAAAGATATCCTCACGCCTTTCTCTCTTTCATTTTTCAGAGAAGACAATTGCTTCTCAAAGCTACCCAATAATCTTCCCAAGGCCACAGAGCTGGGAATATAGTGGAGCAGTGATTTCAGTGTGGACAGTCTGACTCTAGATTGTCCAACAGAAACATAATGCAAGCCACATATGCAATTTTAATCTTTTAGTAGCTACATTTAAAAAGTAAAAAGTAGGTGAAATTAATATATTTTATTTAACCCAATGTATCCGGAAGATTATTTCAACATGTCAACAGAAAAATTACTAATGATATATTTTACATTTTTTATACTAAGTCTTTGAAATCTAATATATCTTTTATACTTAGAGTACATCTCAATTCAGTCATCATATTTTCACTGGAAATACTTGATCTGTATTTTATATTTCATAAAATTTATATATAGATACACATACTCGAGTTGTTCCAGATAGACTTAAAGTTTCCCAGTTATTGAATCAAGTAGTGGTTTTTGCATTCACATTTAAATTAATTAAAGTTAAATAAAATTTAAAATTTGGTTGCTCAGTGTTTCTAGCCACAGTTCAAGTGCTCAGAAGCCACATGTGCGGTGGCTACTGTATCGAATAGCATTGTCTAGAGTCAGCACACTTAAGCTCATTTTGATCAAATTCCCTGTACCCAAGTACATAGTGATGTGTTAGTAAGTGTCCACCTATATTTAAGTGATGCACAAACTCTCCAGCTAGAAGACTGGAGACCTGCCTTGTGTTCTTGCCCTGGTTCCAATCAACTGTATGAGTAACTGTAGAGTAACTCAGGTGAGTTACTCTATTTCTCTGGCCTTTGTTTACTCATTTGTTAATGAGGTGGTGTGTCTCAAATGTCTCTTCGAGCTCTCAAATTATGTATTTTTTCTCTTTTCTAAAAGAGAAAGGAATGAGGTCATTATTAAAGCCATGGGCACCAGGGTACGCATGTACACACACACACACACACACACACACACACACACACACACACACACACGTTCTCCTCAAAGTAATATATACAATCCATGTTGGCAGTCTCCAATATCTGCTGAAATGCTGTGGGCAAGCATGGCTCCCAGGGTGTTCTCTTCCTCCCCTCTAGCACTGAGGAACTTTCTCCAGAATGCCCATGATAAAGAAACATTGAGGCATTGTCTGGCCTCCAAATTCCAGGAAATATTGCTAGTTTGTTCCCTTTTATACACTGCCTTTTAAGGAAGAAAAATGCTATACATGGAAGGAATTCTGCGTTGGTTTCTACAATGATTTTGAGTCACTGGCTTCCTGGAACAGGCTGTGTTCTTTTTTTTTTTTTTTTTTTTTTTTGCTGTACGCGGGCCTTCTCTCACTGTTGTGGCCTCTCCCGTTGCGGAGCACAGGCTCCAGACACGGAGGCTCAGCAGCCATGGCTCACGGGCCTAGCCACTCCGTGGCATGTGGGATCTTCCTGGACTGGGGCACGAACCTGCGTCCCCTGCATCGGCAGGCGGACTCTCAACCACTGTGCCACCAGGGAAGCCCGGCTGTGTTCTTTTAATATATATAAAAGAAAGGGCCTTGGCTCTCCCATACTCCCCTTTGTTACAGTTTGTATTGTGTGCACCTGACTTGTTAGTCAGAATGGGCCTTTGGGTTTATTGGTTTTTATAAAAGCTTTTATAAAAGTTTTTTATAAAAGCTTGACTATATTTTAGGTACAGAGCCATGAAAGGATGGTCAGGGGATTCGAGTCAAACCAGAGAGTAACTACTGAGTCTGAAGGCCCAGCAATCCACATAATTGGATTTGACCAGAACTTGCCTTCCAAATGGAGGACATGGATGTGCCAGGGGCATAAAAACTTAATGGCCATGTAGGAAGGTCGCAGTTCTGAAAAATAATTGCCCCAGACTGGTGACATTTTACTACTTAGAGTCTCATTTCTTTGGGTCTTGTAAGGTGGGCAAAGTGGAACTAGCCTCCTCACCCCAAAATGAGAGATTGTAGTCTGGGTTTGAATTTGGGAGAAGAGAATAATAAGAAACTGAATGAGAGAAGAGGGCAGGAGGGGGCAGGAGGAACTAAAACGACACTAAAGGAAGATGCTAAAAGTTGTCAGCCATTTTATGTGAAGCTAATGCCATACTGGAATTTATACAGACCAGCAAAGACATAAAAAATCTGTCACCAGTTTATTCTCTGCTTAAAGAAAGACAGGCTAAAAAGAATCAGGAGTGTGGGGTTTAGTTTCTTCATTTCTTTAACCAGCGTGAGAATCAGAAAGAAGTTTATAACTCACTTATTTGTTCATCTTTTCATCCATTCATTGTGGTAGGTAACATTGAAAGATGGTCACCATCAATTCTTGCCACTCCGTTCATCATGTCCTTCCATTAAGAGCTGAGTTTGTTTTCCCCTCCAGGTGATTCTGGGCTGGCCTGTGACTTGCTCTGACCAGTGGAATGTGCTGGAAGTGATGCTATGCCCTTGGGAGGCTGCGCTGTGCCGTAAAGGAGCTCAGGCTAGATTACTGGCTGATGAGAGGCCACGCAGAGAGGGAGAGGCCAGGAGGAGGAACCTGAGGTGCCAGAGTGAATGAAGCCTTCCCACCCAGCCCATCTACTGTTGGAATGCAGGTGAGTGACTTCAGTCAATGCCAGATGGACCGGAAAAATGGCCCAGCTTTGAACACTGCCCAAATTCAGCACCAACAGAGTCATGAAATTGTTGTGGTTTTAAGCCACTATGTTTTGGGATAGTTTGTCATCCAGCCATAGATAACTGAATATATATGTTTTTGGCAGCTGTATTTAAGGGGTTCCTTTTTTTAGTTTTCTAAAATAGATTTTTGATCATAAATATGAGTTGAAATTTGTTAAATGACTTTTTCTGCCTCTATTAAAATGGTCATGTGGTTACTTTTCTCCTTTAGTCCATTAATCTTTAATCTGCTCTGCATTTTTGGTAGTTTTTTAGCAGAGGTGTTGCACATCATCTTTCATTAAATTTATCCTAAATATTGTATGTTTTTTGATGCTATTATAAATGGTACCTTAAAAAATTTTATATTCTAATTGTTTGTGACAGTATAAAAATAACACTGATTTTTCTATATATTAACATTGTATTCTGTGACTTTGCTAAACTCATCTATTAGTTTTAGTAATTTTTAAAAAGATTCCTTAGGATTTTCTATATACACAATCACATTGTCTACAAATAGAGATGGTTTCACTTCTTCCTGTCCCATATTTCTACTACTTATTTATTTTTCTTGCTTTATTGAACTTGCTATGACCTCTAGGACTATGGTGAATAGAAGTGTTAAGAGTGAACATCCTTGCCTTATTCCTATTCTTAGGGGGAAAGCACTCACTCTTTCATATTTAAGTATGATGTTATCTTTAGGTTTTATATAGATGTCTTTTATCAGGTTGAGAAAGTTGTCTTCTATTAATAATTTGCTGAAAATTTTTATTACGAATGGATGTTGAATTTTGTTAAACACTTTTTCTTCGTAAATTAAATGATCACATTTACTGTCCTTTATTCTGATTTTTTTAATGGGTTGAACTACAATGTGGTTTGCAGCCCCTCACATGGTCCCCAGTAATCCCCTTCTCCTGGTATTCATGGCTTTGTGTAATTTCCTCTACTTGAGAATGACCTGGACTTAGTGACTCACTTACAATGAATGTAATACAGCAGAAGTAGTGGCTTGTCACTTTTGAAATTAGGTTATAAAAAGACTGTGGCTTCCATCATGGGTGACTTCCCTCACTCACTTGCTCCGAGGAAAGCCAGCTGCCATGTTGTGAGCCACCCTCTGGAGAGACAGGTCCACATGGCATGGAACAGAGGGAAGCCTCTGGCCATTAGCCAGAGAAGAACTGAGGGCTTCAGTCCCAACAGCCCATAAGGAACTGAATCTTGCCAAGAACCACATGAGTCATCATGAAGCAGATCCTCCCTCAGTCAGGTCTTCAGATGAGATGACTATCCAGGCTGACCCCTTGACTACAGCCTCATGAGAGACCCTGTACCTGAAAACCCAGTTAAATAGCACCAGGATTCCTCACCCACAGAAACAGTGAGATAATAAATGTTCATTGCTTTAGTATGCTGCATTTTGGGAGTGATTTCTTTATGCAGCAATAGATAACTAATATATACATTGATTACTTTTTGAAGGTAAAATAAGTCTTGCATTCTTGGAATAAACCTCACTTCGTCATGAAACGTTATCCTCTTAAACATTGTTAAATTTGATTTACTAATTTTATTTTATTTATTTATTTTTTTGCTGTACGTGAGCCTCTCACTGTTGTGGCCTCTCCTGTTGCAGAGCACAGGCTCCGGATGCGCAGGCTCAGTGGCCATGGCTCACGGGCCCAGCCGCTCCGCGGCATGTGGGATCCTCCCAGACCGGGGCACGAACCCGTATCCCTGCATCGGCAGGCGGACTCTCAACCACTGCGCCACCAGGGAAGCCCGATTTACTAATATTTTTGTGTCTAGGTTAAGGATTTTTGTGTCTAGGTTCATAAGGGATATTGGTCTGTATTTCTTTTGTAATGTGTTTGTCAGGTTTTGATACTAGAGATAAGCTAGCCTCATAAAATGAAATCCCTCCTCCTCTATTTTTTGAAAGAGGTTATATGATGTTCATATTGTTTCTTCCTTAAATTTTTGATACAATTCACCAGTGAGCCTGGAGTGTTCTTGTAATGAACTTTTTTTTTCTTAATTATAAATTCAGTTGTCTTACAGATATAGGACTATTCAGATTTTGTTTCTTCTTAGGTCACTTTTTCCCCTTCTCCAGCTTTAAATATTAAAAGAAAAAATATACGGGTTGATTATCAAATAAAGGCAATTATGTTGTAACAAGAACTCCTAAGGCTGCTTTGCGTAGCAGGATTGTACAACATAAAAGGAACACGTTGCCTGGAAATGTATTGATGATAGGAAAAGACAGCATGGATGAGAGTTATGTTGGAGCAGAAGAGTGAAAAAGTATTACGAGTTTTAGGTGTTAGCGAGTAGAGAGCAGGAGACTTTAATGAGTTGCTATGGCCTAAATCAGATTCCCTGATATCTCTGAAAGAAACATGCCTTAAGATTAAAATTCTTGTCTGCACCAAGCTTAAGAGTAACACCCGTTTGGGACAACAATATGGATGCTTGGAACACACAAGAGGAGGGATATTCAAAGCTTTGTAAGCATCACTTTTCCATTGCTCTGATGTCACTGAACTTCATTAAAATAATGTGTACTTTGTTACCATTGCTTCATAACAAATTATGCCAAAACTCTGTGGCATACAACAACCATTTATTTTTATGCTCGTGGATTCTTTGGGTCAGGAATTTGAACAAGACATAGTAGGAACAGGAGTTGTCTCTGCTCCGTGCTGTCTTAAAGCCCCAGCTCTCTCCAACTCTCTTTTTTTCTCTACCCACTATGCCTTCCAGGCCCAGTCATCTGAAAGTCTTTTACTTTCCTTAACACACTCTGCATTTTCTCTTACTGAGGTCCTTCCTCCATACATGCTCTTCCCAGTACAGAATGCTCTTCTCATATCTCCTTGTCCAATTAATTCCCAGTCTCCTTTGGGGACCACTTAGATGCTACCTCCTGTGACCCTCTGCTTCAAGTGCCCTTCCTCCAGGCTCCCATAATCCTCTGTACTTCCCCATTGTAAAGCTCATCACACATTATTTATTTCCTGATTCTAATGTCCAACTCCTCAACCAGGATGCTAGCTCCATGAAGCCAGAGACAGCCTCTATGCTGTTCAAGTGCTTTCCCTAGCATGCGGCACAAGGCTGGATATTTACTTGTTGACTGCATTAATGGGCAAGGCAGGCATTGTTGTTCCCATTCACAGAAGTGAAAACATGGTGGGGGAGAGTAAGAACCAGGCCCAGTCATGGTCAGTTCATGACATAGCTGAGTCTAAGTGCAGGTCACACCACCACCCAACACTCTCGTGCAGCCTGGAAACAGAAAATTTGCAACAAGCCCCTGCAGCGGTGGTCCTTGATACTCTACCAGCTGTGTCCACTGTCTTTCCAGCCTGGACATGCCAGGCAGCTGGGTCCATGGAGGGAAAAGTCCTGGTTATTAACTTATTTTTATTCATTTGCTTGTGAACCACCCAGTGAGAGATGGTGCTTTTGACTTGTCTTGGTAAGACACAGCCAGAGAGATGCAAGTTCTATTCCCATGATTAAGACTTCTCCACAACTAAAATATTGATCTTAATTAAGAAATAATGCAGGGCTTCCCTGGTGGCTCAGTAGTTAAGAATCCACCTGCTAGTGCAGGGGACACGGGTTCGAGCCCTGCCTGGGAAGATCCCACATGCCGCGGAGCAACTAAGCCCGTGTGCCACAACTACTGAGCCTGCGCTCTAGAGCCCGTGAGCCACAACTAGTGAAGCCCGCATGCCTAGAGCCTGTGCTCCGCAACAAGAGAAGCCACGACAATGAGAAGCCCATGCACCACAATGAAGAGTAGCCCCTACTCATCGCAACTAGAGAAAGCCCGCGTGCAGCAATGAAGACCCAACACAGCCAAAAAAAATAAAAACAAACAAATAAATTAATTTTTAAAAAAGAGAAATAGTGCATAAGGAGGATGCTGGGAACAGTGGCCATAGGCTATGGAGACAAGAGGCTTTTGTGAGAAGAGGAGAAGATGGAAGTTCCATCCGCTCTCATTGCCAGCGTTTTTCTTTCCCACTTAGAATAGTGACAAATAGTTTTCTTTTTTCCATTTGGGAGAAAAGTACCCGGAAAGTACTTAACTCAGGGAAAAACAAGCCCCAAAGCCAGACAACTGGATCACCCTGTCTCTTAACAGCTGCTACTAATGGGTGTAGAATCAATACCATCGAACCCCCAGACTTCCCAGAGCAGACACTTCCAAATGCCCAGCTCGGAGCAGGAGGAACTAAGAGGTGAGGCAGGGCTGGACCAGCCAGAGCTGGGCCCATGAGATGGTAACCAAACAACAGGCCCACACTCTGAACCAGGGCAACCAAGGGCATGTGGCTGGATGGCAAGCAGAATTCAGGACTGCGGCATCTCAAGGCAGGGTGAGAGAGGTCCCAAGGCAGAGAGCTCAGGAGCTAGATAAACAGGAGGAAAGAGCACCTGGTTACCAGAGGTAAGAAAGCCAGACAGTCATGGGAATTTCTGCATTCTGTGGCAATGACAACAACGAAATAACCTTGATACAGAAGCCAGACCCCAGCCCACAGAGGAGCTTCCCATACACTTCCTTTTAAGGATGAAACCATTTTAATACTCAATAAATAACACACAGGAACACTTTAAAAAAGAGCTATACAAGTGTCCGCTAAGCATATGTAAAAGGTCTCCAATGTTTTAGTCATCAGGGAAATAACAACTGAAACCACGGTGAAAAACCATTTCACGCCACTAGGATGGCCAACCTCAGAATGACACCACCTCTTGGTGAGGATGTGGAACAACTGCCTGTAGGAATGCAAAATAGTATAACCACTTCGGAAACTTGTTTGACAAGTTCTTGTAAAGTTAAACAAATATATGTCTACCCTTTGACTCCGTAGTTTCATTCTTACTATTCTTACCCAAGAAAATGAAA